TGGGGCAGGCAGGACATGGGGCAGGCAGGACATGGGGCAGGCAGGGCACGGAGCAATCAGAGCTCCCCGGCAGGGCAGCACCGGTGTCCGGACTAACGCCCGGTGCCTTTCCTCCCGCAGGTAAAAGTGTGGTTTCAGAACAGACGGACAAAGTTCAAGCGGCAAAAGTTGGAAGAGGAAGGTTCAGACTCACAACAGAAGAAAAAAGGGACTCATCACATTAACCGGTGGAGAATCGCCACCAAACAAGCCAGTCCAGAGGAAATCGACGTCACGTCGGACGATTAAAAACTGGCACTTTTTGGGACTTTTCCAAGCCGGGCACCCCACCAACAGAAAGTGTTAAAGGCTCACACCCCCCCGGCGTGGCGGTGCGGGGAAGGGACACGGAGATCTTTATCCAAAAAATGCGATTCCCACTCTGGGAAGGCAGCTGGGAGCGAGAGGGAGAGACCGCGAGGGCTCCGAACTGTGGCACTGCCGGCACCGCTCTGGCACGGGGGGATCTGTCAATCACAGCCAAAACACCGGGACGAGGCGATTGGCAGGTATTCCGTTTCTCGCAGTCCATTTTTTAAAAGCATAACGTCAAATCATTAAAAAAAAGAAAGAAAATGCTAATCTTGAAACGGCAACGGCAAAAAAATCTTAAAAAGAAAAAAAAATAAGGAGAGAAACAAACCAACAAAAAAATTTCCTCCCCCCCCTCTAACTAAACCAGAAAAATTACCACTTTGCAGGACATTTTGCACTTCACAGGTTTCTTTTTTTTTTCCGTCTTTCAAAGAGAGATTTCCATAAGCAGCCAAAACCTACACCTGTTTCAGAAACTTGAATTGCATGTGTAAAGCCGTCTGGGCAAAAAAAAAAACAAGAAAAAAAAAAAAAGAAAAGAAAAAAAAAGGAAAGAAAAAAAAAAAAGGAAAGAAAAAAAAAGGAAAAACAAACAAAAAAAGAAAAACCGGAAAAAAAATGACCCCCGGTTCCTAAAGACAGAAATGAATTGTAATTTTTTTTTCCCCTTTAAGACAGGTTCTGTGTGCTTTTTAATTTTATTTTACGAGAAATGTGCAGTCTGTAAACATTTTATGATAACTTCTGGCGTCAAAGTGTTTGTGAAAAGCTAAATGAAGTAGCAGTAACAAAGCATAGTGTTCCTTCCGGATGGATCCCCCCCCACCCCCCACCCCCCCAGTTGTATCCCCATTGCAAAACCGGATCATGATTATTTTTTAAGATGAATCAAACGCAAACCCAGCGACCAGGTTTGGCGGTGGGGACATCTCCCAGGCTGGGAGGATCCAGAGAAAAGGGATTTAAAAATCGCAGATCGATTTTTTTGTTTTGGTTTTGTTTTATTTTTAATTTAATTTTTCTTTTCCTAATGGCCATTTTCATTGGGGCAATTTTCAAGCACTGACCTTATAATATTCCGAGATGATAGAGCTACTAAAAAAAAAAGACAAAAAAAAAAGACAAATGTTTCCTTCATGTCTTCTATACCAGAATGTAAATATTTTTGTGTTTTGTGTTTAATTTGTTAGAATTCTAACACACTATATACTTCCAAGAAGTATGTCATTGTCAATATTTTGTCAATAAAGATTTATCAATATGCCCTAATTTTTTAAGCAATATAATTTCCTCCTTGCCCCCCTCCCCCCCTAAATTTCTCGGAAACCCGTAGTTTTCCCCCCTCCCATCACAACCTTGTTTTTAGCTACTGAACCCCCTCGGCCGCGCATTCCTGTGGCTAAAAAGGAGCCTTTTCTCAATGAATTCACAGGCTGGTAAATAGACCATTAAAAATAAGCCGCAAGAGACCCACTTGCTGTAAATAAATACCTTGTTTTTAATATATATATATATATAACAATAATAACAAAACCAAACCCTTCCCTGGTAGAGACACCCAAGTGCGAACTGGTTCGTAATGGGAGGGTGAAACTGGTCCCGCAGCAGCCGCGCTCCGCTGAGAGGGGTTTTCCTTGGCAAAAAAAAAAAAAAAAAAGATGTGTTTGTTTGGAGAGGAGGTTGGTTATTTATTTATTTATTTATTTGCCCGTCGTTTTGATTCCTTAGCCAGGTCCTTGCGGTGGGGAGCAGGTCCTGGGAGCTGCTCCTCTCTCTCTCTCCTCTGCTCTGGAGGAGCGATCCTGGGTAGAGGGGAAAACTCTGACATTAAAGACGTGAAGGGGAACAAACAAACAAAAAAAAACAAGTTTAAAAAAAAGTTGCTCTGGGTCCTTGAGGAAACTAGCTGGTTTTCTGGGGGTACACAGTTGTTTTTTCATGCTTCATTTGCTTCTTAGCCTGATAGACTGCATTAATCAGTTTTATTTCCATTGATAGAGAAACCTCGTCTGCTCTGTTCGAGCTACAAAGAATCCTGCAAGCTTTTGTGAAAGTGCAAATCAGTTTAGGCAATTATCATACCAGGAATATGAAGGGGAAAGAGGAGGCATTGCCCAGTGGTCTCCTTTAATCTCTTAATCCGTGGATCCAGGGGGGCTAGTTGGACATAATTTAGGACAATCTGACTACCCTTTACACTGTGATAAGGCGAAGTTACAATGCATGGTGAAAATACGAGCTTTGTTAAACATCCTGCCTTGAAAAGTTAAGATTAGACATTCTGTGCACGTGTTGCCTCTATCGGGTACTATGTAAATTTAATATTTTTTTCTAAAATCCGATTTTATTTTATTTTTAATTTATTTTTTTTTAGCATTTCTCCTTATACAACCCGGGTGACTTTCCATTCACTGGTGCTACAAATCTGAGGGAGGCCCAGGCAGGGTTAGGACTCATGTCGCAATGCAGTCCCTTCCGTTTCAACCCAGGCTAATGATTTAGTGGAACTATATTCCCAAGGTAAACTTCTCGTTGCGTTATCCCCCCTCTCCTCGAACAGCTGACGGATCCCGGGACCGAGCAGGGCGCACATTTCACCTGAACTCGCCCGAGTTCCCTGGCGCTCCACTTCAAACCCATGCAAATGGGCAAACATTAAACGGATTGCGGCTGAACAGCAGACTTGGGCCTTTCTAGAAATTGTTTCCCATCTTGATAAAAGGCTTATTTCTGCAGGAACCGTACACTTTTTATTTTTTTCCCTCCTATATATATATATTTATTTTTCTTTTTAAACCGTGAGGGAAGGGAGGGAGAAGGGAAAAAAATTAAGCGTCCTGTGTAGCGTAACAGCAATAAAATCTTCAGAGAATGCCATTAGCTTTGAAAAAAACCCCTAAAAGCTTTATTACAAACCGAGCTTTGAAAATAGGGGGGATTAGGAGTCTGAAAGGGTCCCACAATGGTTAGAAGAAAAGGTTTCATGCTAATGAGGTTAATGCCCTTTGTATCTCAGGACTCCACAACTTCATTACTCCCTATCTCCGGCTGCACCAAGCGGCTCAGAACACTGCAATCCACTCCAGCTCTCCCCTGCCTTGCCTAGAGAAGGATTTGATAGCAGCTCTGTTCAAACTAGATAATTATATCTTTTCAAGTCGGAATTAAGATAAAGAAAGTGAAGCAAAGGCGGCTAGCCTTGATCCACTGCAAACAAATTTGGCGCACTTTCTAGTCTCTCTCCCCCTGCCTCAATAGGCAGGACAGTCAGCTTATTAGACCCTCATTTGCTTTATTAATTCATCTATTTAAAGTGGCAGGATTAGAGAGAGGGAGAGAGAGGCAGAGTCTAATGTGGGACAGTGGATGCCAGGCAACGTGGAAATATAAATATTGGCGAGATGCTATCCGAGCGGGTGTTTAAAAATACATTTTATATTAAATAACTGAGAGGGGCGGGGGTGAGGGGGGAGGTTGTATTTCGGGTGGCGAATTGCAGACTCGGGCGGATTTTTACTGCTCTTTCGAAGGAAATCTCCGCGCCGGCTGCCGGAGGCTTTGCGGCCCCCCCGCCAGGACAGGCGGCTCCGCGGAAAA